AAGATGTCGATGAACTCCTTACCTACTTTCCAATAGATTTGTCCAGGATAACAATAACAGAGATGCAAAGAGTTGTACTATGGTTCAAACATTTCTGAATGTTGGACTAGGAAAAAAGAGGAATAAGGGGATGAGGGCAAAAGATGAAAACAAATATAAGATATATACGAGCTAGGTTCCGCATTTCAAGCAAAAAGAGCGGCAATTCGTCGATAAACCTGAGAGACCTGTAGAAAAGATCAGATATTGCCTTTCACAAAACATGAAAACATCTGTATGCACTATGCGGAAAATTTCCAAGAATGCATCCCAGACGAAGTAGTGGTTTATATCGAAGTCCTGAGTAATCGTTCAAGACAGCAAAGACTGAATAAAATTGAACTGTTACCTCGCTTTGAGACTCGATAGGTCGACGATAGGGATGATAGCACCGTTTCTGTGTATTTGTGCACACTGGAGGCATTTGAAGTGACGAGAGAGAGAGACTGTAAGTGTGGGGAAGGGAAGTAAGAGGATAAAAACAAAACGTAGAAGAGCGTGGAAAAGGAACTGAATTAATCCAAAGCAAGGCCGTTGATGAGACACTGCGTTACATACTTTTCGTCCAATCTGCCTCTTCAAGCTTCAAGAACAAGCACAATGGCCCTGGGGCTGCCACATTTCCTTCGTCCCTTTGTCTTGATACAATCAACAATGAAACATTACCAGCATCCGTGAAACAAAGGAAGAGACCATTTCTATGTCATTCACGATCGGAGGAGCATTCAACATTCAATGCATCGATTTTGCCTTCTCATATTCTTCAATTTTGACTCTTGCTGTGGCGTTCTTGACGTTTACGGATTGTTATCTCGTGGTCCAAATTCGTGCAAATTCGTCAAGATGCTATGAACGAGAAGAACATGCAGAAAGAGGCTGCAGAGCAGCTAGAGCAATATTGCTTATACCATCAATCAGAGAAACTTTGAAAAATAGATAACTTATACAATATAAGACTCATTTGCCCTTCATGGTTGGACTCATGTAATATTTTCCAGACAAGCAATGGCAATTCATAATCATTGATAGCTGCTGTTTTGTAAGTATTATGAACATAGATTGTCCATTACTTCACTGTACATAAGTATATATATACATATGTGCCTTCCGACTATTCAATAGATTGAAACTCCTATCCATTTTTCTATCATTTGAAGATTCAAAAATAAACTTTCCTTCATTAATCTGACCATCATATAGCCACACACCACTTGAATTGAAAACTCTGGCAGTAAAATGACTAGAACCATGATATATAATTGAACTTAAACTGTATTCTAAAATGATACTACTATTTTGAATATTTACACTAATCTTATTACAAGGCTCTATATCATCAGCTCCATGTAATTCAAATACAATGAACTGTACCTCATTAGAAGATATCTCCAATGACAACATACATTTATCACTACACATACTAGAGACTACCATGTCAGCATCCAAATCAATGACACCATGCTTACATATGATATCAATAAAATCTTGTGTTGTGCTAATTAAACATGAATATGAATACAATGGATCTACTTGGGCTGATACTAAGTTATAGCTTTTTACTTTTGTTTTGATAGTTTGATGATTACTATGCTGTCTGCAAAAACCTGTAATTGACAAATATTCCTTATTACTAGTGCATAAATGAGACTGAATAATAGTTGAAATTGGTAACATAACATGGCCAAATTCCATGTAACCGTTTCCAAATACATAAAATACATTTATGCGCCATGCATCTCTCAATCTATTCCAAACAGTTACACATCCTTTGTCAACAGGATCCATTACCAATGCTCTTAAATACTGAAATATATGTTGATGCTGACATTGATCAATCCACATTTGACGCGATGACTGTGATAATATAACAAAACAATTATATAAAACAACAAGTGCAGTATCAAAACAACAGCTCCAATTTAAATTATCCCATGATGGTCCTACTCTGGCAAAATGATACAAATAGCTATCATCGACAACATCAACATTATATTCTGTAAGTTGATCTTGTACATTTTCACAATTTGTTATACTGGGTTTCTGCTTATCCTGTTTTTTTGCCAATTTAATTTTTATTTGATGTTGTATATTATCATCACCATGTCTTTTTCCTAATTTAGAACTTATCTGATCTTGTGTATTGTTTTCACTATTATTTTTTGCCTGCTTATAATCTACAAATTCATAATGAACTGGAGAAAATTGAATCTTTTGTTCACACTCTGCATCTGGTACTTCTTTTAAATTTCCAGAACAATATCCCCAAATAACCTTTGTATTATATGCCATTACTTGGAATCGCTGGTGTTCAAACCATAGATCAAATGGAATTGCAGGTGAATTAAGATTATCAATAGTTACTTGCTTAGTAATAAAAAGACCTTCCCTAGATTTTGGCCGAGATGCAGAAACATATGCACCATATCCTCCCAAATGCAACATACACAAAATAGCCAATAAAGTACGACCCTGTGCACCTTGACCAGTAAGTGCAAATGATGGTTCAAATGGTAATTGCATACGAGTTATTGATACCAATACCTTTTCATTCTGCCTATTTCTTATATAACTACTGAACCGCCATGATTTTGACTTTATTGGGAAATAACCTTTTGGCAAACCAGATAACTGAGCTTTACTATCTGGAAATTCAACCAATGCATATTGACAATATGTAAGTCCATTTTTATCTGTAGATATTTCCAACTTTCTCAAAAACCCTCTTGCACCATTAGTAATACCAAGTTCAGTATTCAAATTCTCATGTTTCAGTATAACAGGCATACCAATATATAGATACAATATACCTGGTAATCCAAAGCTCGACGAAGAGCATTTTTTGATACAATCAAAGATGCACAATATTCTAAATCTCCATCCATAACAACACCATTTGGATTACTTGGAGTTTTAATAGCCCGTGTATTAAACAATTTAACATCATTATCATTACATTGCCGTAGCCGTAGTCGGCCTACAGCTGCTGCATATTCCATGTCACCTTCCATACGCTTTTGCTCAAATAACTCTACAACAGTATTAATAGACTTCCAAGCCATGCGCCCCAGTCTACGCATCAATTCATCATCTGTTTGCTTTCCAGTTGAACGGATTGGTGCATATAAGGGAGTTCCAACTGGAGGATACTGGAATGGATCACCACTAAAGATAACATTAACACCCCCAAAAAAATCATCCGGTTTCTCCTTAGCATAACGTAGTGAACCATCAATATCTGCTAATAATATTGCATCTACCATTGAAACTTCATCAATAAGCAATAAACAAACATCCTTCCATTCCTTTCTTAAACAATTATTCTTTTTCACTGTAGCAAATACTGTGCTAGATTCATTTAATTCACCCAATGGTCTTTTAGAACGTCCATTTTTATACTCTCTAACTGCAATGTTAAGACCACTATGAATAGTCTTTCCATCTACCAAAGATGCGGCATTACCTGTAGGTGCAAGTGCCCTATAAGTATGCTCAACACCATAATATTTCATTACCTTTTGAACAGCATGAATAACATGAGTTTTTCCTGTTCCACCAGGTCCTGTCAAATTCATAATTAATGCAGACTTCGATACCCACTCAGGAATTTTCAAAATTTCTCTATATATAACCATAGAAGAAATTATATCAAATGCAATTTGCTGTTCATCATTAAGTCCAAATTCTTTCCCAATTTTATCCTTTAATTCTGCTGGACTACAATAACTGTTTTTTGTAATTGGATCATGTACTAGAATTTTTCTACCTGAATGAATATTATCAACATCGACAACATCTGTTGCTACATTTACTGTGTCTTGACTTAATAGATTACCATGTGCATAGCGTGCACTGGCAATCTTCTCTGCAATACTCTTTCCTTCATTTAACCATTTTTGTGTATTGGAAGAATTTAATACTGGTAAATTGATGTCTGTGATTGAGTTCTTATAAGTATCACACATTAAGCCAATAGGAGACCCCTTCAACCATGCTGCATATTTCAAATCTATTTGTAGCAACTGTAATTCCTGAACATCATGAGTTAACTTAATATCAGCAGCTTTCAATTTATTAGGAAAAACAAATGAATTAGCAGTATCATCATCATTGTCCAATATATCTAGAATATCTTCAGATACATTCAATGCATTTGTCAAATGATCTGACCTTTTCCTTAGCCTTTCAGCATCACGTTGATCAGCACATTCATGTATTTCCTCCCAATTATTCAATATACTTTGGTGTTCACTACACAGTATCAATTGCTTCAGCTCTGTCTCAGGATCAGTCTGAACTAATGCATGTATTACAGAAAAGGGCTTGAAATGGGCAATAACAAATAAGGCATAGTCATTACTACTTTTACGCGGTGGTACAGTTCCAATCATAATGGGTACAAGCTCCTTCCCTACATTACCTTGTTTATAATTTGTATGCTGAATGAGTTCATGTGACTCATACAATGGATGACCAGCCATAAGTTTGTAACGGCACAATACGCCAAGTCTTGTATCAGAAGTTTTTGATGTTCTTGTCCTACTACGAGGCTGTAATGATACATATCGAATAAAATCATAAAAACACATATCACTAAGCAAAGCATCTCTGTACCAATAATTTACTACCTGACTATAACTAACAACTTTACCATCTTTGAAACCAAGTGACAACATGATATCAAATTCATCTTCACTTTCATTATGCTCATTAATTGCACTCAAAATGGAAGAATCTTTGGAATAAATCTGATTTACAAAACACATTAAGTTTGCTGATGGTAATGGCACTGTTGAATGAGAAATCATATTATCCCCTAAACCACGAAGATACCTTGCACATTGCTGAGCATGAATCTGCTGCTTGCGTCCAAAATGTGTTAAACACCGATGCAGAAGCTTTTTTGCATCAATAACAGGACCATCATCCACCTCATCTGAAACTAATGAGGAAACAGCTCTTGACAATGTTGACAACAAAATATCGGTACTTAATGGCATTTTAGTGATATAATCTGATATATAAAACATAGCAGCTTTTGCAGCTTTACCAGAAAGGATACATTTAATGTCATGATTATGTCTCGTAAATACCAATAGATATGGGTTATGACCATTAACATCACATTCTTTTCTGGCAAATATTATTGAATTATTTTTGGTATCAAATGATGAACTTTCAACAACATCATGAGAAAAACCAAAACGACATGTACTAAAAGAACTCTGACCTTTATGACAAACAGGACGACATACATGTCGCTGAAAACGTTCACCTATTTTCTTATGCTCATCATTAAATAGCCTATACCAATTATCCACAACCTCAGAAGAACAACTATTAATATTCATGAATGGAACATCTGGTGGCATTTCAACTCTTGGTTCATATCCCTCTTCAATAGAAGTATCAATCTCAGGAAGATGATGATAAATTATACTGTCAAAGAAATCCATGAATTGTTTACGATAACATTCAACTTCATTCATTTTCTTGTGAACTTCAGATGGATTCAAACCACCACGTAAAAATAACAAATAATGACCATGAAAGCAACCTCTTTCAGTAAGCTCTGCACATCCGAAAAATGCTCGAAGATGTCCAAATAATCCACCATCTTTAGTACTTTTACTGTTCTTGAAATCCCAACCAAACAAATGCTCAAAAATAACATGGTACATAAAATCAAAAAAATCAGCTGCAGCTACAGGATCCTTAGCAACACGACAAGCACGTTCACTTCGAGGATGCACAACATATGGATAATGCTCATCCAGATTAATGTTGCTTTCACCATAAATCACTTGAAACACAGGACTATGCACAGCAGATGGATTAAGTGTCAAAAATAAATGTGGTAGACCAAAATAACTATAAAAACTACGAATCTGACTCCGAGTAATAGTTTTTGATGCTTGTGAACCCGGAATTTTTGAAGATATTATGTTGACTTGATTCAATAACTCAAATGCATGTAACTCGTCAGTTGAAAAATCATCTCTATTATTTTCATTCTTCAACTTCTCAGCTAAATCTGACAACACAGTGGCAGATACATTCAATAAATCTGGAGCAACTACTGAAAACTGAGCAGATGACATCCACAATGAAGTATGAAGATGAGCCTTCCTACGCTGAATTAAATTCAAAGCAACAAACGAAAAGAAATGATGATAACGAAATTCACGAGAACTTTGATCAAGCAGATACTCAACATGTGCTTCCAATGATACAATAGGACAACGACGTTTATCTTCAAATCCTCCAATACCCAATGGAAACAATGTTGGAAACATTCCAGGAAACAAATCAGGATTATTGTATTCACTTATTGGATCCCTATCATATGGCAGAATAACTTCTTCAGAAGTACCAGATAACAAAGATTGTGCAATGTTATGTATAGAAGCTGCTGTCATAAACCGTGCAGGAACATCCTGCAACTCTGGATCATATAGGCCAGAGCGTTCAAGTAGAACACCATTATCCATGGATCCTTGGAGTAAATCAGCAGGGTGATCATCAAAGCCACTTGACTCTACACCAAAACAATCAGAAGCCACAGTATCATGATCATAAATGATCCTTTCTTCCAAACCTGGCAATAAACCATTTTCAGGAAACATTGACAGTATACTATTATCCAATGAATACAAGCCAGCATAAAGACGGTTATATTTGCATAACTCAAACAATAACATACGAATGATACTCCGCCTCACAAAGTATGGTTTGAGTTTTTGCAAATCTTGCGCTTGTAACTTAGTTTTGTTAACAAACACTACAGTTATTAAATCATTCAAGTCAGCTGGACTCCATGGCAACCGCTTAGCAACTGAACAAATATTCAATGGATGTGCACAAACATTTCCATGTAACTGCAAAGGATCAGCACTATCAGATGAACCATATATACGGGATACATGTGCAGTTGTATGGTAAATAGAGCAAGCCATTTCCTCCACCCAGGTAACATTTTGCAAATTCTCACTCAACTCTCCTCGATACAAGAAATTATTCAAAGCTAAGCGGGGCATAACACAACGCTGCAAGGACCCACAGCAACTATGACAAAGATATAATTCAAATGAAGAGCATTCTCCATCAACTGCACGTATTCCTTTCTTGTCTAATAGCAAACCATCCAGATCTTTACAAATGTAAGTAAATCTAGACCGAGGAGTATTTGCCAATATAAAAGGATCTGTTACTTGCAACTTATGTAAATTAGGCCAATCTGACTGGGATAAATAACATCCAGTACGCAATCTATCCTCTGAACCACAACATACACAAATAGACAATGGACTATATTGAACTGCCTTGCGATACTGATGCAAACACTTAATTTGAGTATCAATAGACACTGCTTGCGGCCATGTATCTGATGAGTTATGCAGCAAATTATATTCATCAATTGCATGTTGAATACGATTATCCCTTCTCTTGTCCTTTTTGTATAAACTATTTTTAGAAACAGATTGGTTCTCAATACTAACCACAGTTACAATATCTTGCAGCAAGCTAACCGGATAACCAATAAATGACAGCAACTGCAGAATAACATCACGTAACTCAAGTTCAAAAAATGGTTTACCATAATAAAATAAGTATGTATCACAAAGTGTAATATTATCCATATGGAAAAAATACCTATAATCTCGCTGAAAACACTTGGCTAATAATTTGTACAAATTGTTTGATCTCATGTCAGAAGAATAATAAACAGAAGAACAACAAAAAATTACACTTGACTTAACATTGCGCTCATATATCTTTAATATCTTTTTCAAATTTGACAATTCATCTTCAGAAACACTCTGAAAAACAGAAGTAATTGCATTTAATACATGACTTTCAACTAAGTCATTACCACAACGTCGAACTGAAGAATATTTCTGAGAATGAAGCTGTAACACATTAGTTACAACTGATCCAAAATATGCAATACACTGCTGATGGACTGCAGCATAAAAACATGGTGCAGCATCATCACTATATGAAAAATTACTACTGAACTGTATCAACCTCTGAATAACAGTATCTACTGCAACACTATGTTTAACACGTCGATTTCCCATAACCAACTCCCGCACAGGTATTCTACTGATATATTGTCGACAACTATTAATATGTTCTGGTGACAACCAGGAAGGCATATGATTACTCAAGTCCTTGACAATAAGCTGTAAGGAATCCATTGTGGTGGGTGGAACCACCAACTCTGCATGCTTTATAGTTGCACATCCAACTCTATTTAAGCTCCTACATCAAATTCTGCCATCACACCCAACCTATCAAACCTCATATGTAACGCTTCTATCATCAAACAAAATTTACTGCCAATGCCACATGACAATTTACCAAACAAAACGAATCTACGGCTCCACTACCGTAACAGGTATACAACAAATGATCATCAGACTCCTGACATCATACTCAACCCATACCACGGCTCAATATATTTGCAGAATGATCTGGAAAAACAAGGCCGTTTGAAACCTACAAGGACCTCCTCCTTCAGAGTCGTTGATATAGTATACACTAATCATCATTTTTACTCACTATTAACTGTTAAAGTCATGACTGAAAACAAAGTGACCAGACTGGGGATTGAACCCAGGACCTTCTGGTTATATTCCAGATGCTCTAACCAACTGAGCTATCCGACCTTGGTTCAACTAATGAGGACTTTACATATGGTAACAGTGGCCATCCAAACAACACTTCTTAAGGACTTACTATCTTCTTTTGCCTTGGTTGATGGAATTCTGCATAATACCATTTACACCTCATTAGGGTGTCAGGATTGAATCCTAACATTAACATCCTTAGAAAATATGCCATTGATCCATCATCTGCAAAACATGTATACTCGCCAGAGCAAGGATACTAGCTGGAGAGCGCTCTCCAGCGACAAAAGCACCCAAAGCAAAAATCAAAGGCTGCTCTGGGTGCTTTCGCTGCTGGGAAGTGCTCCCAAGTGCTCTGAGCTGCTTTCGGCTATTTAGCCAAACATACAGGTTTTGCAGATGATATGGTAACTTCTGAGACTGCTCTTGTCAATAGTACCACACACACAAGTAAAGGTTGGAAAATAGATGTGCCATCCATTTGTTTTTGAAGTACCTCTTGAGGGGGGTACCCATTTCCTAATCAGGAAGGTAAGGACAAGTCATAAACGGCTCTGCCCATCTCGACATCAAGCATCAGGTTGAGCTCAAGTTCCTGACTGAGTCTTGCCCCCCTTTGAAGAGCATGATAGTGGAAGCAACATAATGTACCTGATCATTTTCCAAAAAAAATAACATTCATATTGTTTGAACGATGATACCAGCAATATATAGGTAAATAGAGTGCTTTGAACTGAGAATTGTGTTGGTAAGCAGATCTGGAACCTGGGTGGATTGGTAATACCAGTGATATATAGGTAAACAGAGTGCTTTGAACTGAGATTTGTATCAGTAAGCAGATCTGGAACCTGGGTGGATTGGTAATACGATCGGGAATGTGAATTTGAGGGGAAAGATGCAATTGAGAACATACCCAAGAACAGACCGTCAAGAAGAAAAGGGAGGTTCAAACATGAAACATGCTGCACAGGGTGGCAATCACAATTGACTCAGAAAGGTGGAAAACAGAAAGCCTGAGTAGAAGACTTGTGCAAAGAAGGTATGCAAGTAATCATGATTGAGGCAAAGTGATTCAAACTTTAAAAAAAATTAATTGTAGGTACAAGGAGCATGCATCAACAAATGTAGAATGAAGCCAGAAAAACAGCTTCCCCACAAATGATGGAGCACAAGATTCTTTTTCAGTACACACTAGAAGAGCCAGGAGACAGTATTACGGCTGAGCCTGTGCAGGTGGCCAACACCAGACCACCACCAGACCACCACCAGACAGAAGGTAAGCCTGAAACCAATGGGTATGGCGCTGAAGTTGTTAGGAGCTGGTGGGTGTGGTGGGAGCAACAAGGACTGGTTCCGAGACAATTGGCAATGAGTGTTGGGGAACACAGAAGATGGGCTTCCCAGGTTCATCAGCCCGCTCTCATCGCTTCTGCTTGATTATCCTATGGGATAAGCTCCGCTAACATATTTTAACAATAAATTCAAACAGGTTGAAACGTACAAAGGATGCCAAGAGCAACCGGGGAAGTAAAAAAACAGGCTGCCGTGTCACCGATTTTACAATTGGATCCAGATTGTAGGAGGATTTTATCAAACTATGACATGATTCAAAAACATGGTGCATTTCCTGATGTCACTTCAGACAACCTACATTCTAGAGTTCCATATGAGAAATGTTCTCACCTTTCTCGAAATCAAGGAATCCTTACATTTGTGTAGCAACGCAGTCCAAGATCCAGGTGGTCACCATTGCTATCTAGCCTTATCCGGAATCTGGTCAGAAGAAATTTTATTATACAATCAAGAATCCGGGCTCTCTTGGCCCACTATATTTCAAAAGGGGCTGGAAAAAGGTATAGTGTTGGCTATAAAGTGGTTTGACACAAAAGATGTCACCTTAGATGAGAATATAGCTATCATCCTGCATGGGTACATACCGTATTCCGAGCATCCGAAGAACCCTTGTCTCGGGAATGCTTCGGACTATGCGTGAATGAAGATGTTTGGTAGAAACTCTGCACGATTTGATGCTTCATCAATATTGATGCGTTTTTAGGTGAGGGCGAGATAGATTTTGTGAGCTGGGAGTCTGATTTACCATTCAAAAGATGGGACACAGCCAACTTTACAATCTTTGAAAGACCGTTCCTCAAGCTGCAGCGCTCGTTTCCTGGCATGACAAAATACAAGCAGTGGAAGTCAATATAATCACATTTCTTGTTTGTGGGCTCTTGTAGATGCACTGGATATCTTTTGCTCCCAGTTGAGTCAGAGTTCCCAGCATGTCATGCCTAAACCTGTGTCAGCCGTTGATAATTTGAGGACATAGTTCCAATTTTTACATGGTTCCAAAGGCAAAGGTATTGGGCTCTGACAGCAGACTCTGAAGGCACCAGTCTGGTTTCATTGATGAATTATTCAGCTGAAGCAGGACTGATCTACTCTACTCTGATGTGCTTGGTTGCTGATAATATGATATATATTTATCAGAAAGGTTTAAGTTCTTAGAAAGGAACTTATTGCTTACATGATCATAGAAGACAACACAAGATGCACAAGTTGAAAGGTTCGAGAAAAGGAATTTTTTAAAGAAAAGAAGAGAGAGGAAGAGGGTGGGAAAAGAGGAATAGACTCGCCGGCCCACTCCATTACTTCACTCCTACATATGTCCCCAATCCTAATTTCACTTGGCATTGACTGTATCAAATCCTCGTAGGTCGACGGATGTTCATTCTGATCTTGAGATCGCTCCTGCTTCTCTCCCTCCTCTTACAAAAGCATTTCAAATTGAACCCTTCCCCATCCTGATGTACAAAAAATGTTCCTAGTATTCCTTGTTGGCACAGCGGACACTTAGCATGTATCAGTTGATGATTTATTTCATCCTCCTCCCATATTGTTGAATATACCCATATGTTGGGCAATTAAGTAATGACAATAGTTCAGGAGACAATGATACCAAAGTCGAAGTTGTAGAAAGTGAGTTTTGATATGGGTCTGGGTCTGGGTTTGAGTCTGGGCCTATTGTCCACATTCCTTGATGATACTCGCCCAACTTCATATTCTTAGTCATGTCACTCAGGCCAAGGAACGAAATCTTGCACACAGAATCTCAATTAAACACACTACATCACCCATATGTCTACTAGTAGTGGCAATTGCAGATGTGAAGAATGCGGAACTGTTGTAGTATGCAGTATGCAGTATGCAATAAATTAAGAACTGCTTGTACATATATCTTTGTCCCTTAAGGGAAAACACTACAAACTTAAAGAAAGATGGTGGCAATGTGACACCCTGTACATCATATATCATAGCTCCTGCGTAATAACTCTTCAAGAGAATATCAAAGAGAAAGAGAAAAAGGAAGATGGGATAAAAATGAGAATCATCTCGATTTTTCCCCCTGCTTGCTTTGTTGTTCAATTTCACTATGTACTTCCACTAAGTATGTCCACTGTCCCAATTCCTCCCACCGTCGGTCAAATCCAGGCATCAAATCGGTCAAACTCTCATGTTCCTCAATGTGACCGTGCTGTTTTTCCTTCCCTCCCCTCACAACTTGGCGGAATTTCGTCCGAACCTTGTTCCTGCTCCCCTTCATTCAACATCTCAACACTGCCCCCATCTTGATGCATGAACACAATCTAAGAGCTCCTCCCACTGAACCCACTGAACCCATCCGTCATCAAGCCTACAGTAGACACTTCACAACAGCTACCATGTGAGGCAGAGTCAAATCCTTGGACGGGATGAGCGCTATCATTTCAGAGGTCACCGCGGCTGGACATAAATTCAAATTCATTGAAGCTTGACGTTGTTGGTTAATACAATCAGAATGGAATCAGAATGGAACGAGAACAGCACATTGCGCTGCAGCACCTGTCTCACCTGCAGTTAAGTCATGGTTCCCACCGATTTTGCCTACTACACTCTGAGTCATCCTAAGCCTGTTGTGATCAGAACTCCCATCAGGGGAACCTGAAAGTGCCTCTGAAGACCATTGTCTAGCTCTCTTCTTCAAATGATATATCAACACTGGAACAATGACCATGATAATCAGTGTGGCCCTACCAACAGTGAGTAGTGGAGGAGGTGGTGGGGATGAAGGTGGAGGAGTGAGCAAGTGAGGAAAACATAAGCAAGGAGGAGGGGGAGAAGTTGGCCTCAGATCTAGAACTGGGGTCAGAGTCGGGGTCAAAGCTGGGCTCAGGGACAGTTGAAGATGTAGACAAAGGAATGATGCTAGTAGAAATGGAAGTGGAAATAGTGAAGGTCCTACTGGAAATGCTTTGAGGCATTTGCTCAGCACTGAGGGGGGTGAGAGGTATAGAGCTGTAGAGGATACCAAGTGAGGCATGAACATCGAAGTCAACATGGTCAATGAAGAAGAATGTTACCCAAAGTTATAGCATTTATGATCTCACTTGAAAAACCATATGTTACCTGGGCTCGTCATAGTGGGTAGGTAAAATTGTCAATGAAGGAATATCTCCATGTCAGTCCTTTTTAATATGCAAAATTTGCCGTTTTCATCTCTGTTCAAACCACAGTAACTGTAACTTTAGACGGAGAAACAGTATCAATGGCTAAACAGCTTGCTTGCTTGATTCATACCAGCATCCATCTATTCCGTCCACAAAATAGACATTCTTGTTGTCAATGATCGGAAGCTCCGAAAATTTTGCCTGGCAGCATAATGCTACAGTTCTGGTCTCTGTGATACTTGCTTAAATTTTAAGCATAGAAGGAGTGGACTTCGTACCAGCAGCAATACATAATCGGGCTTTCTCCTTCTTATGAATCATAATGTTTCTAGATATTGATCTGACTGTCTAAGTATATGGAAGATAAGGATTTTCTGACTGTAAAATTTACTACTTCAGATTTAGAAAAATAAATTAGAGTATCAGATACCAACCTGAGTTGATGAACAATTTTCATCTGCTTTGTTACGGCTGAGATTCGGATACATTGAGGATAATGTACATAACTGCAGAGTACAGGTTCAAACAGCATCAGCATGCGTGTCATGTCCGGTGAGAGCTGCGGTAAGTGTGAGATATGTTTGGGCATCCAGAATGATACTTATGAGGTACCTGGGAACAGTTGTTACTGATTTGGTTGACTGTTGTGCATAAAAAGCTTTGTTGTGTGTGAGTGAAGGTGGATCTCGGGGTGCGGGGGGTGGGCCAGGGGGAGGAGGAAACTAAGTGTCAACCTCTTTGCGCATCTGTCGGAGGAAACAGATGCAGGAAAGCGCCTTCACCATGTGTCAAAAATCTATTGATGCTCATGGTGATATTTAACCCAAAGTAAAGCAAGATGCCACGTCAAAGAGTCAGCAGCTATATGATGTATGGAATGCATTACAACTGCTACCAACACTGTTGCCGTGTCTAGAATAGCTGGTTGTATATCCTGCGGCTGCTCATGTACAATGCCATCATCTTCATACCCTGTCACTGTATGACACCCAGCCGAGTCTAGCCCCACAATGAATGCACTGTCATGCATCCTTCCAAGCATCTCCTTGATAGCTCCGAATTCCATTAGACAGCTGAGTACGGCACAGAAGAGGGAACAAAAACTCACAATATTGCTTGAAATATTCAGCACACAATTAGAGCATCAGCTTCCAGAATGAGATGAGTACTGTTGTAGGTATATCTAGTCGAATTAATTTCTCCGGTTCTGAACCTGGTGGGATCGGAAGGGGCCATTAGCATTTGCCGTAACTATGCACGGACTTCTGCACAGAACTTGTATGTAACTTGCGCGGAACTTGCACGGATCGCTTACCCGGCAAAGTATAACTTCAATAAATACTTTTTAAGAGTTTACTGATCACCAACTACATTGTAACAAATCATTGAGTCCAAATCCTAGTAAATATCAGGAGCTATATACACCCTAGAAGCATTGCACTCACCTACTTCACTCTGGCAATCTCATGCTTTAATGAGCAGGCCATTCTGCTCACTAGTCTCAGTAATGGGAGAACAGTGATTGTTTATGTATGTTGAAGTAGTCCTTATCACCTTTCAATTGTTCATCAATGATAAGAAATGGTAAATCCTCAGTTGTTCAACATAATGGACAATGACTACAGGCCTTGACAAGACTGTGTGATCTTGAGAGTGTGATATTGAGAGGTCAAAGAGGTCTCTTCATTGAGACTGTTGAATCAAACAATAGACTGGAAAATTTTACCTGCAATGGCACTACATTCCTATTATTCAATCTTTTGTTGGAAATTTCAATGGTATCTGAGGGTAGCATGACATTCATTGGCTCATATAATGCTGAAGAGTATACCAGCCTTCTAGTCTGGTGGGAGCATGTTGTGATTTCTCTACTCAGAAGGGCTTTACAACACTGTTGAGAAGTACTCTTGTAGTTTCTTGGAATTGTGTTGAACTAGGTCACTAGTACTAGTTCCTTGATGGTCTCATGATCAACTTTGCAGATTAAATTAACATCTCTGGCAAGTGTACAAACTATGGAGATAAGTGTAACAATGGAGGAACAATTAAAGTAAGGATAATGACACATGCAGTTGCACTATATGTATACATTCACAATAAAGAAGCATGCAGCTACAATGTATACATGCAAGCATGTGCTGAGCAATGGCGAGTGGATGAGCCTCCAAGAATATCATCAAGTATATTCAGTATATAGTATGCCATTTTCATGCAGGTGTCATAGACATGAAATTCATTCCATGGTGGGGGTATTACATGTGTATTGATCAGGGGACTTGGTTTCTTACTTGTGTATGTGACTAAGGACTAATATCTGAACTTGACACACAGGAAGAGAGCATTAAAAAATTGAACAAAAAGTAAGCTTAGAACAATCAGACACAGGCAACTGAGAAACATTTAAATGTAAACAGAACTGCAGTGAAGTGTGGCAGTTACTTTGCAGAAACTGTTACTGCAAAAGTTCTGTGCCTCAATCTGCATGGATTTGCATGTAATTTGTGCGGACCTGCACCTGACTTGCACGGATCCACACCTGACATGCGCGGATCTGCACCTAACTTGTGCGGATCTGCACTTAACTTGCATGGACCTGCATATAACTTGCACGGACCTGCATATAACTTGCATGTATCCTGCATGTAACTTGCACGGATCTGCATATAACTTGCGCGGATCCTACATGTAACTTCCGCACCCAGCTTCTACTAACAATCAGAGCAATAAGAATCCCATTGGCAATTACTACATAGAATATCTCACAAATAACAATTACTCACATCTGAAGATTATGAAGCAGATAAGCTTCAGAATATCTGCTCAATCATATCTTTGCTCTTAATTGTTGAATTATGGTTAGTGATACACCAGAATAGATAGTTTAATTAGTGATCCAGTGATTCTGAACAAACTTAAGGATTGGATAAAATTTCAGGATAGGAAAATCACATTGAACCTATACAGCTCCATTGTACAATATCATTGTCTGGAGCTCAAATTAAGAAGCAATATGACTATGTGGTAGGATTTTGTACACAATATTGCATATTTACAGATTACATGGAGCTGCATAAAGTTGCGCGGAGCTGCGCGGAACTGTGCGGCACTGCGTGGGACTGGTGCCGCAGGGGTTACGGCAAAAGTTCTGTGCCCGATCGGAAGTGAGTGCGAGAGAACAGTGAGGCGGGCCGGAGAAGCAATTGATCTTGTTTGCCATTTGCACTTGTTTCCTTCCTTGTTCAACCTTCTTTTGTTCTTTTTTATCTCTTGGAGTTCCCGTTTGTTGAATATACATCTTCAAAACTTGCAGGCAGTCATTCAAAACTACTGTAGCAATCAGTGCATGTGGTGTGACAATAATGTATCACTATTAAATGTACTCAACTACCATACATCAGTGGAATCTCATCCAGGACTTGCTCCTACTTGTGATCCTCCTTCCTCTGGTTCATTTCTTGAGCCTTGTGAAGGCAGATCCACCCTCTACTTATCATGTATCCTCAAATAATTGGGCCTGAGGCGTAAGCAAGTCTACAATGAACCCACTTTGTTAAGTTTGTTCCTCCAGTTACAAGTTCTAAATCTCGGATCTCACATTCACCAACTCCACTCCTACTCCTACTTCCGTCCCCGTCTGTTATGCTCACTGCTCCTACTCCGGACTCTGACAGGCATCAAACCAGATATCAAACTGGACATCAAACTCTCATATGTTGGCGGAACCTCCTCTGGAACTTGTTCTCCTTGTGGCATGTCCGCGTTAATGTTAACGCTTCCCCTGTCCCAATGTATGAACACATTCCTACTATACCTCCTATCTAAATCACCTGCTCTTGACCCTACAGTGGGGACGCCATGACCTGCAGCATGTGTAGCAACAGGAACCACAATATTATCAAACTCTTCTCCTCCTCCTCTTTCTCCCCCATCGACAAATACTTCCAGTGCCATTTGTTGTGCTGTCAAAGTCCTAGGTGGTGACAATATCGGAGCTAAACGTCCTAGGTGATACTTCAATAAATATGGAGTGGCTACTCCGAATCTTGCATGACGACGGGGACTACCACCACCACCATTTGTCCCAACTGCAGCAAATTCTTCATGCATCCCACTTTCTATTTCTATTTCACCTCCTGCACCTGGAACGCCCTCCCCAGTACCTGCACAATCAGCAGTTTGCACCAGTGTTCCAGGTTTAGCCTCCAATTTCAGAAACATCTCTTTCAGTTGATACCGTTTCCACCATATCCCAACCAACACCAGAATAGTAGTAGCAATGGCTAGTGCTACTCCACCACCAACAGCACCACTGACTATGACTCCTATATGGGAGTTTGCACCAGATTTGGGTGAAGAAGAAGAGGAGGAGGAAGAGGAGGAGGAAGGGGAGGAGGAAGAGAAGGCGAAGGAAGGAGGAGAGGTGCTGGTGGCATTGACAGTAACACTAGAAAATTGAATAATGGTGTTGGATACCTCCCCTTCACTTGCACTCTGCGAAATCCTAGTCGGCTTCATGGTACTCTGATCACCAGGACCAAGAGGATCTCCAATTATGCTCAAAATATTTCCGATTGCTGTTGCTATTGCCTTGGTAGTAGAAGAGCCCGACGGTGTGGTGGAGTTACTGATGATAATATTGATTTCATTGGTAGTTGTATGCGTACCACTGGGTGCTGGGGTTATCTCAACTGGTCCTGAATCCCAAGTCAACATTGGTCACAGTGGATGGGAATGGGTAGATTCAAGATAAATTATTATGGGTATTCAGTTTTCTCTTCTAGTTTTATTTTTGATCATCAAGAGGGTTTCTGTCAAAATGTCCCCAAGTACTACAGACATAGCTGTGGCTACAGCCTGTTAAATGAGATGAAACAGATAAAACAGATAGACGGATAGATAGATTCCCTCTGTTTGTGCAAGGGATACCTCGACATAGTTTCTGCACTACATTGATTCATTAGGTGCACAGACATTGTCATCAAGGAATAGAGGTGCCATTCATACAATTCCTGTGTTGATAACCATTTGAAAGCAATGACTAGGTGCGGCGGACCACTTTAGGACAGGAAAGGGAGTATATTGGTGTCAACAGACCAATTTCTGTCCGACATGACATCATGTATGTGTTATGTCATGCATTATCGTTCTTGCATTTCAAAAGAGGAATCTCGACTGAGAGATGAAAGATTGGGGTGGGTTGTTTGAGTCCATGGGATAGATAGATAGATATGTGTAGTATATATCGCAAAAGAAAAGGGAACGAATTTATGTAATAAACACGATCAATAGCTTCTTTCAGAATCTCTGTCTTCGTCCTCACTTCCACCAACACCCCTGTGCCTATTCTGACTCCTACTCCTACTCTTACTTCACTGCGCTTACTGCTCCTATTATTCCCTCTCCAAATCCCACTAGGTATCAAAGCTCTCATATGTTGGGGGAATCTCATCCTGCTCCTCATCCTGCTCCCTTTCTCTCTCTCCTTCTCCTCGCAAAAGCATAGCGAACTGAATCCTCCTCTACCGATCAGTTGTTGGATGTATAATGTGAGGGCAGGTGTGTACACGGCCAGACCTAGCATCCACGGCAGGCCTACTGTACATCACGCACCGCAGAGTATCCGAGCTCCCTCAGTTGTTCCGCTATCAACTAAGGTGAGCTCGATAATGACTGCGTCCGAATACTATACACCAATGTACTGTAGTTTAACCTTGCGTTAACAGGTACATATCTAATACAGTTGTTTTGCTATCAACTGAGTTTAACCTTGCATTAACAAGGGCATGTATTGTTCCAATAATGTATCACTATCAAACATATTCCGCGACTGTACATTAGTGGAATCTCATCCAGGACTCACTCCTACTCCTCTTGTTGTGATCCTTCTTCTTCTGGTCCACTTCCAGGGCCTTGTGAAGGCATATTGACTCTCTCCTCATCATGTGCTCTCAAATCTTCGGGTAGTCCACTTTGTTGAGTTCTCCACAACTCCTAACTCTCCACTTCCACCAACTCCACTCCTACTCCTACCTCCATTATGTTCACTGCTCCTGCTCTGGATCCCAACAGTCATCAAATCAGACATCAGACTCTCGTATGTTGGCAGAATCTCTTCCGGAACTTGTTCCTCCAATTGTGATTCTACTTCTTCCTGAACTCTTCCTTGTAGCATGTCTACATTAATGCTAACCATCTCCCTGTCCCGATGTATGAACATGTTCCTACTAGACCTCCTACCTGAACCACTGTTCCTTGACCCCACGATGGACACGGCGTCATGACCTGCAGACATCGCAGGTGGTAACAATATCATAGCTGGATGTGCTGGGTAATGCTCCAACGGATACAGGGAGGCTTCGAATCTTGCACCACGATGACTACCACTACCACTTGTTATTTCACCTCCTGCACCCGGCACGCCCTCCCCAGCACCTGCACGATCAACGGCTGGCACCGACATTGCAGGTTTGGTCTCCAATTTCAGAAACATCTCTTTCAGTTTATACCGTTTGCACCATATCCCAACCAACACTAAAACAATGATAGTGATGGCTAGTGCTACTCCACCACCAATAGTGCTGCCGATTATGACTCCTATATGGGAATTTGCGCCGGAGTTGTGAAGAGGAGAGGGGGGGGAGGGGGAGGAGGAGGTGAAGGTGAAGGAGGGAGAGGAGGAGGAGGAAGAGAAGGTGAAGGGAGGAGAGGTGCTTGTGGTATTGACAGCAACACTAGATAATTGAATGGTGGTGTTGAATCCTTCTACTGCACTTGCACTCTGTGAAGTCCTAGTTGGCTCCACATCACCAGGACGGGGACGGACACCAGTTATGGTAAAACCGTCTCCGATTATTGCATTTGATATTGTAGTTGTTGGAACAATAGGGTCACCAATATTATCAATCTCATCGGTAGTTGTACGTGTACTACTGGGTACTGGGGTTGTTCCAACTGGTTCTGAATCCAAAGTCGACATCGGTCAGTGCGGTAGGTAGGAATGCTGGGGGCATATTAAGGATGAATATTAAATTATTGTGAGTTTTCAATTTTTTTTTGACAATTTTGTCTTTGATCATCAAGCTGGTTCCTGTTGTAAAGTCCCAGAAACTACAGACGTAGCTATGGCTACAGCCAGGTAAATGAGATGGAACAGATGAAACAGATAGATGGATAGATAGATTCCCTCTGTTGGTGCAAGGGATACCTCGACATGAAGGAACAGAGGTGCCATTCATACAGTCACCTGTGTTAGTAACCATTTGAGAGTGATCACCAGGCGCGGCGGACCACCTCAGGAAGGGAAAGATAAATGGAAGGGGGAGGGGGTGTATGGTCATTGACAGACCAATTTCCGTCCACTTTTCAAAAGAGATAACAGTATGCAAATGTCCCAATACATTCTCGTTATTACAATTTCAAAAGAAGGAATTTCGACTGGATTTGATTTAGAGAAGAAAGATCTGAGTGAGTTGTTTCGGTCCAATGTGGGGTGGGTACAGTGTAGTCCATGGGTATGTAAGGGTATATAATATCGCCTGCATTATTAACAATGTCACAAAAGGGAAGAGGAAGAGGGTGGGAAAAAGAACGAATTTGACAAATACAATCAATTGCTTCTGTGTTCATTTTCACTTCCACCAACACCACTCCTAGTTCTATTCTAACTCCTACTCCTCCTTCTTGCATTCCTACCTCCACGGCGCTCACTGCTCCTACTATTCCCACTCCAAATTCCCCTAGGCATCATCAAGCTCTCATATGTTGGGGAAATTCCATCCTGCTCCTCATGCTCCCTTTCTCTCTGTCCTTCTCGTCGCAAAGGCATAGCGAACTGAGCCCTCCTTCCGTCCTGTAACGCGTTTTCACTATCGCATCTACCTAACCGACTCGTCGTTGACCGGGACCCCGCAGCGGCCATTCCACTGCGTCCATCGCATGTATCAATTGCCGAGTTGTTCGACCCTCCGTTTGCTCTGGATACATCTCATGTGTGTTGCGTCCTCGACATTTCTGTAAGTGGCAATCCTGTTACTGGATCCAAAGTCAAGCGCAGTGGAGGTAATGGATCCGGATTTGGACCTGGGTATGTGTTTGATGTCAACGTCGCTGTGGAATATTTCAACGAATACGGAGTGATTACTCCGGATCGTGCGCCGCTCGCCGCAAGTAATAGTCCATATATATCACCTCCCGCACTTGGTGCACCTTCCTCAGCCCTTACACTTCTTCTACCTCTATCTTCCCCTATACCGCCCACATGTTCTGTGACTATAGATATAGTCGTTAAGTATGCATAAAGATTGATTTCCTTTGCTTTGCTGAGGAGGCACCTTCAAACTTCGACCATTGCTTCAGCAGTTCATTGTTTCGGAAAATCCTAGATAATTCATCGATTCATTAGGGAACAATCAGTCGAGGTGCCAGCTGTATAGTAACCATTGATGTTTCCAGGCGCGTAGCCAGCCGCAGCCATGTGAAAAATACGGTGGAAGTTGCATAATAATGTTGACGTCGACAGACGAACATGAAGCACAGCAAGAGCATAGGATTGAGAAGACATAAATCACCCTTGTACAATCAATGGTGGTTCTGCAATCATACATGCATGTGCCAATTGTTCGGCCTGCCTAGTACATACATGTGGGAGTCGTCGGAGTCTGGGTAGGTGTGGAATGCACGAGAGCTAATTGTTGAGAATCTATATGGAGAAATCGAGTTGATACCCCCTCGGCCTGAGTGGGTTCCCCACACATGACACGCTCAATTGAGCTGAATTTCGAACGTTTGGATTGGATTGGGGGTTTGAAGTGGAGCTAGAAGTTGGAATTAAGCACGATGTTCGAGCTGTTCAGGGAACAAAAGGGCGCTGAGAGCGCAGTTGACTATGTATGTAGATTGTCTTGATGATTTGATGAGAGTATAAGGACAGAGAGAGGTACTACGTCAAACATAGTCCGAAGAAGGAGTCGGAGGAATGGAGATCGAATAGCTGTAGAACTGTAAGCTGCAAATGTATATCAGTAGTAAACTTTCAATAAATTCACCGAACGTACTAAGGCATTTATCAACATTAAAAACATCCAAGTCGAAAACGTAGTGGCATATGTTGCAGGAGCGTGAACGGGATGGAATTTGGCGATGGGAGGATTAGTCTTGGTTGCGGTTTGTCATTCGTCTGCCATTTGTCGACCTTGCCCTGCTTAGAGTCTACACTATGGTAGTAGTAGAGAAACCGTCGAAACAACAGTTGATCAATAATCGGAATCACACGTGCGGTCGGTCCACCACGTGGTCGACAAGTTCAACCAACCAACGGAGGCAAGCGGAGGCGTCGTTTTCGTCGAGAATCGAAAGGAATTGAACGGAATGTATCTATCTATCTCCAGCAATGTACAAGGTTGGCGGCTGGATAATCACTCCGGAGGATGCTATCGCCTGGTTCAACAGGCATCCTGGTATCATTGAAATATTGATCTCCCAAGGATGCCACCTCCGAGTCCAGGCATGATCTAGCTACTCTCCGGTCAATTGTTTCTGTATGGAACGAATGAAGACCGACTCACTGCCTTTCAAATCTTTACAAGTCACCTGGTCTCTTATTCAAAAATGACTGTTATTAAATCACCTTCAGTATGTCCACCATACATCTGTTAAGATCATGTACACCGTGTAACCGTGCCAAAGCTACAAGGTGTCTAAGTGCGGAAGACGAGTGGGACAGTAGTGAAGTTATTAACAACACCGCCGTTACGCCGTTAGTCCCCGGAGATCGAGAGTAGAGAAGGGAGGAACTGAGAAGCAGCCAGGTCGGAGCGGCAGTATCGCCGGTGACGAGGAGCGAACCAGAGAACGTCTAAGTCCTAAGGTTATAGTAGAGAGTACTCCAAGGCATTGAGCCTGAAGACTTAGAGAGGAGTTAAGTTGGGAAGGGAGATCTAAGTTGATAATTAAACTGAGGAACTACAGTAGCGTACAGGCAGTATTTATATCTACGGAACGGCGCATTGGTGCGGAGCGCCAGACCAACTACTAGGAGCTATACGAGTAGTACCTGCAGGGTAGAGTAAAAGACAATAAGGAGAGACTAGAACGAAAGAGTAAAGACAATAATGAGAGACTAGAACGAAAGGATATGTGTAGCGAGAAAGAACAATAAGAGAAAGATTACAATAAAGGTAGATCTTCGGAGTACCGAGCGGCGGGATGGAGGCCCGAGGCATGGACTTGACAACATCATGATTTTGATCCGCATTTCCACAGACCACTCCCGAAAAATTTGGAGAGATCGCCTGCTTTTTGGTTTCTAGACTTGATCGGACTAGCGTCGAGACTTGGGCTAATTATACTGAGCTTGATATGAGAGAAGAGGATACAAATCTAGAAGCAAGGCTAAGAGAGGATGGACTGATACTAGTAGTAGTCGGCGATTGGATCACTGTCACTGATCCCTGGCAGAATGAGTGGCCGTTTGCAAAGATGCACCCACGTCGTACTTGTCCTCCTGACCCAGAGCATTTGCATATCATCAGGAAGTCTAATGAGTAGAGGAGACCATATGGAAAAGCAAGAGAACTAATAATGTGAGTACCTCCCTCACTCAGGCTCTATTCACAAGCTGTTATTTACAAAAGATCATCAGTCATTCGAATGTCTCGACCTCAATGACGATGAGAACAATCTGTTTTTTGGATGGAAAACCCTTCGTAACAACAAAGTCGATTTCATGCCAGTATCGCTGGAGGAAGACATTCCGATCTAGTCACCCATCCATAGAGTCCCTGGACAAATCTCCTTCCTGGACTTCTATTGAAGCGATGTGTGTGTCAGCTTCGTCGCTAATATGCAGTTCGAGCTCAGGCATAATGAGGTTTTGCTGTTTCACCATGAACCTGAAGTACGCGGCATAAACCAGCGTAAACCCAACACAAGCGAGCATTTAAGGGGCCATATAGGGACTACTCCCGTTGTGATCCTCGCACATTTTGCAGGTGGATCATTAAAGGTAGGTTTGAATGTATCGCAATGGACCTAGTCCTGGATATTGTCCTATAAAACAACAGTTGTTGGATGCACACTAAATGAGATATATTCAAAAAATCCGCGGGGGAAGCTTTTGGTTTTGCTATTTCTGTCTTAGCTTGACATCTGTTATCGATGTTATTGATTTTCTCACCAACACCACTCCTACTCTGACCTAGACTCCTACTCCTAATGCACTCACTGTCCCCAATTCCATCTGAACATCTCACGGCGCTTCCAGGATTTGAAATTTGATCGTTAAGAAGGCGGTTTACCCGACACAGCGTATTGTATCAATGCGAGCTCTACATAGATGCTCTTCCATGTCTACACCTTTGACGTCCTTGTATGTCGCACTTGGCGATGTCACATCCATTCATCCTGTTAATCACCCATACTACTTGCAGTTACATATGATTTCTGATCCCCAAATCCATTTACTTGCGTTCTCAATTACTTGAATACATCTTTGTTCCGTGAGTCAATAACTTTTTCATTGAAAAGCTCTCACCATCCTTCATTTCGGGTCTTCCTCCTATTACAGCTGCCGCTCCGAGTCCATGCGGGATAGTCCCCCCATCTATTATTTTCTCTCTCTTTTTAGTCTCTTCAACAGGTGTATTCTATATCTCTAGCTGAACTGAACAGGATATGTTTCCAACAGACAATTTAATGTTTTATTTGTCTTCAAGTATGTTGCAATATCTGGTCTCATAGACGGAAAAGATGGATAGGTTTATAAATGAACTTGAGGGGAGTCTTCCTGTTCATCTATCTATCTATCTGTCTATCTATTGATCTGCTTCCATTCACAGTTAATGTGATGAAGATAAGGTGTGTCTCAGGAAAAAAAACTCAAGTAGATAAATCTTTGTAGATTGTTGGCAACCTTCCTTACCCTACCCACTCTCCATCACGAACATAGGTAGTCCTACTAGCCTTCCTATTACTATCACGATGTTCACTACTATGGAATTGTTTCCGGGTAAATATTTTTCTTCATTGGCTACATCATGCATCAACGTCGAACTAACATTCTGTTAGTAACTTCACCTGAACCAACTAGCTCACCACTTGAAATCGAAGTAGCGAGTACTAGTACATTACTTGAAGCCGTAGTGGAGAATACTAGTCCTCCTTCCAGCAGTAGCTTTGGATCTGAGAGTGAAGACACTTCTTTTCCCAGCCCCTCCCCTGATACCCTCACTACCTCCTTTTTCACTTTTACAGTAACCCCTACAACCCCTTTCCCCACTCCTTCCCGAACATTTACCACCTCCACCATCATGTCTTTCTCTTTTATCTTCCATACCTCCTCTGCCACCACTTCCTTCCACTCCCACTTCTCCGCCACCATTTCTAATATTCCCAACTCAAGCTCCAACCCTGGCTCCTCCTCTGTTTCCCCCATCTCATCTAAATCACACATAGGAGCAATAATTGGCGGCACCATCGGTGGAGTTGTGCTTATTACTACTGTTATCATACTGGTATTGATACACCGATCGAAAAAGAGGAGACACAGGCAACGGTCCATGTCGGAGACTCTTGATCATGGAATTGGTGGAGCCACACCATTTCCATTAAAAGATCAACTGACAACAATAACAAATTCAGATCCAAATTCACATTCGAATTTGACTCCAGTCGTACCTCCTGAAATGACAACACTTGGTGAAAGCAACTCTGTAGTTGCCACACAGCTAACGGCCAGTACATTTGGTACAAGAAGGAATTTGTTTGTACATCAAGATGGGGGGAGGATCGAGATGCCTTTGCAGGCAGAACCAGAAGATGTGGTTCTTGAAGAGATTCCACCACCTTATGAGAGTCTGATATAGTTGATGCGGCCTGGCAGGATTACGGGAGCAATGAGCATAATGGTGCCAGAAATAGGAGACAAATAAGGAATGCTAATAGTGAACAAAGCGGACCAAATAGGAATTTTTTTCACCGTCCTTTTCTACCCACCTTCATTGGAGTCGGTCCTAAAATCAACCTTCTCATCTCGAAAATTCCTTTCCTATCAGTGAGATAGTATCTGGATGGTATTGAAAAAAAAATTGAAGATTGACAACTGTATCACTTATTATATGATTTACATCCATGCACCTTCCACACTTTCTGTGTATGTTCGTCTATTTGTTCAATGCTTATGGTTCTATGAAGTGTTTTGAGTCATTTGCAAAACCTGGACATTCAGCTAAGGGCTGGAAGGACTGCAAGCACTATGCTCTGACGTGCTCAATTGAGCAGGATTTCGAGCGTTTGGAATGGAGGGTTTGAATTGGCGTTAGAATCGAGATTGAAGCGTGATGTTTGTGCTGTTCGAAGAATAAAAGGGTGTTGAGAGTGCAGTTGACTGTGTATGTAGATTGTTTTGATGATTTGTTTCACGTCTATGGTGTGTACCACTGAGTGTCGAGTTGTTCAACCCTCCGGGGTCGAGCGTGGTGAATGTGGGTTTTGGTTTTATGTTTGCTTTTATTTTAATGAATACCGTGACGGAGTGACCAATCCGGATCGCACCTCGCTCGCTGCAACCAATTGACCACATATCTCACTTCCCGTGGTTGGTACACCATCTGCAGTGCCTATAAATATACCTATACCTTCACCTATACTGCCCACACCTTTACTCGGGTCATCAATGAAGGTCACCCCTACGACATCCGTATCAGCCTCGAAATTCCTAACATGATCATCAAATGCCTTCCAAGATCTCCATCTGTGTCTCCACATCAAGTACTTGTAGAATGACATAGTGCCGCTCCACTGCTAGTTGCGCCGCCGACTAGTATCGCGCTAGTGTGGGGATTTCATGGAACTCAGGGAGGAGGAGGAGGGAGAAGAGGTAGACGAGGAGGTGGTGGTGACGACGGTGTAGGACACTTGTCGATCTGGAGACATCGTTGTCAGTTCCAGAGTCAAATATGAATTGGAAGGGGACCGTGTCAGGAATGGGATCTGTGAAAGGTTTTTTGAAAGGACGTGTGAGAGGAAATGAAATTTTTGCTGTGAAGGTTGGTATATATGAAGTCCGCATGGTTCCTAAGTCCCTGTTGGAAAGGTTGTTATATGTTGTCACGCTTCATATGCGTTGCACTTGAATTTCGATTTGTGCGTAGGCGTCATTGCCATGGGCTATACTTGGGTTTCCACTTTACTTATAAGGTACACTCTTATGTTTCGGATAAATTTTGTTTACTTACAGTTTCATACAGTGTACATAGAAGACACAGAAATATTTGTACGATTTTCTCCCGACTTGGACTCTCGAGCCTTTCTAGTGCCAAATTGAGTCTAATGATTCTCTTCGGGAGGTAGTAACGCTCTTATCCCAAAAACATCCGACGAACCGACACTAACTCGAGTTTGCGATTAGAACCCTAGTAAGCATCACAATGTATGTATGTGTGAGGGGTGTTTTTATCGTCGCTTTTGCACAAATTTTATGCTGAGACACTTGAGGAGGACGCAACGGTTGGGTCAACCAGAATAGAACGAGAAGCCAAGACTGAAGCACGCCCTGTGACAAGATTCCCCATTTTGCCTTTACCATGACGAGTTCGTGACCTCTGTGTACCTTTGCGGCCCTTCCTAGCTAATGGACCAAAGCCTGTGGTAGCGTTACCTTCGAAAGACTTTTGAATCTTCGCTCCATCTGCCCTGGAAGTACTCGATGCATCTGCTGTAGACGTGGATCTGCCACGTTTCTTGCCTATGGCTGAAACAACATCATCCTGAGCCACTGTGGGTAACGACATAGGAGACGACGGCTTTTGAGTGAAAATTCGAGATAGACGGCGCATGAGTATGTCTTGAGAAAATTCTTTCGTAACCTTGTCTAGTCCTTCAATGTTCAAGACCCCAGCAGGATAATCCTCGCGTAGAATACTGTCCGCGGTCGCGTTCTTAACCCGGAACGACCCAGAAATACGTAGGACGCCAGAGAGACCCACGTCAGTATTGAGATTTGGTAGCTGATCGAGAAGCGTAACGACTTCAGGCTGAGAAACATTTCAACATTCTGAAAAGGCTGGCTCTGCGACGACTCTCTTACCTGATCACGGAATATAACATTCGGATGAATCTCTTTGATATCTTGAGCAAAATCCGGGGTTTCGCTTGTGAATGTCGAAGGCACATAAACAAAAACCCAAAAGGTTCGCTCATCAGAGAGTTTTAGACAAAAGACCAAAGTAACGCTAGTGCTTGAAGATGAGGGCAGAACACAGAATGGTTCGTCACGCTCGTGTTTGAACCAAGACACGACTTCTCCTGGAGCTCCCGCCAGAAATACCAGTCGGTCAGGCATATTTTCGGATAATTGTAGGTCCATGGTTTCGAATCGGTCGGCAACTTCGACGAACTTCACAAGTTTTGCATTCAATGACGGTAAGTTTAACCCGAAGACTGTGCAGGCATTGGAAACCTTGGAGAAATGACTAAAACACATAGCCAGCGATAAAGCAAGGGATAGAGCAAAATGAGACGGATGGATTTCAGTTCGATAGTTCCAAGCAAAGGTCCCGGCTAACTTCACGAGGGTGAAATATGGATGTTCTTTGAACCATTTTGCCCCGTAAATAATTGTTGCCGGCTCATTAAGACCTATCCGAGAACACATTGGATCCAAGAAGATTCCATAGCCCTCGTTGACGAGAGCAACGTCGCTACCCTTGAAATCAAGGCACCCTTTAGATGTGGTCAAGAAGTTGACAATCGTCCTATGCATTGCAATAGTGCTGATGTTTCCTATAAACCATCAGGGAAAGCGGTGGGGGAAGAATAATTGCGAGAAGAAACACACTTTTGGACAAGGCCTTGGAGCCAAGGGGTGAATACCAATTATTTTTATAGAATTTTTCCTGAGATGTATATTCAGAATTATCGTAGGGCATGTATTCAGAAACAGTGTTGATGAAACCTCCCAATAACGTATGTGGACTCTCGAAATTGTTATTTAGTAACAATGTCAGGAAAGACGCTGTGTAACGGTGCCTAAGAATGGGTCAAGTTATGATCTTGGTGAATTAACAGTGTCTTACCTTCCTCGTAACCAATGCCACATTCGATCCATAAGAAGCCGACCAGCATCTGACTTTCCAAATTGTGGAGGTAAGAATTGGGAAACATAACGTCGATGGATTTCTAGATCATCGAAACATCCTGTATCTGAACACCAGAGAAAATTATCCCATTCTCCTGAGGAAGATTGAAAATGTTCCTGAGGAATGACAGTACCCGCGACAACGAATTTAACCGGGAAGCAACCCATATGTAGTTGCCAGCTTCGGAGAATCGCCTTTAAAAGCGGATAAGGTCCGCCGTCATCTTCTAAGGCTCTATAGTGCTTTTGGGAAACTACATTCGCTTCATCTAGCACAATGTAGAAGACTTCTCCGGGTGCCATTTGCAAGAGAAATTGGATGTCCTCCCATGTGTGCAGTATGGCTTCATCAATGACAGAATCATTCACGCAGGCTATAGAGATCTGGTGCTTTATCTTACCATACGGTTCGAAAGGCGATGCGAGGTTGTGGGGAAAGATTTGTGATTCCAACCAACGTTGGCGATGGTCATGACAAAAGCCCGCTTTCGAGCAGGCTTCAAGATACATTTTAAAGACGATCAGCCGTGCTAACAGGGCTTCGCATGCTATGCGATAAATGGTTTGTACGTTGTCTTGCAACGATGTGGTATAATGAGGGTCAGTGCGAAAAGGTAGGAGACCAGACCAGTTAGAATTCGAGCTTATATCAGAGATATCGGCTGCGAAGTCGCTAGCTCCAAGGTAAGAGGAATCGATGGCACAGGTGATATAAAATCCCCAGTGAATGCAAAGACCTTCGAAAAGCAGTCTAGTTTTTCCAGTACCAGACGTGTTGATAAGAAACCTATATATAACAAGAATTTCAAAGACATTCTTCACGTAGAGTGAGTGAGACAAACGTGTGATGATCTGGAGAGAAGATTGTGTCCAACCTCTTCCGCAGGAGAGGGTCATGCTGAAAATTGCCCAGTTTGTGAAGTATGACAAGAGGAATTTCTTCGCGGCTTCCGAGTGGAATCCCGAGGTTCTGAATATGATCATTTATGTCTGGGTTGACGCTATTCCTCGTAGAAGCCCAGATAGAGCGTTTCCATTCCCCTTTGACGACGGGCGTGATCTTATTCTGTGAAGCTATTAAACGAATTGCCTCGTTCATACTCTTGAGCCTAGGGTTTGTGCGCCACGCATTTCGCTCAAGTACACTGTAAAGAGAACGTCAGAACGCTAGAAAATCTCCTCAACGAGAAGACGCGCCGCAAAGACTCTCTAATGCTCCTAAATCCCGTGCTTGGTGCGCGATCTTGAGTTGCTCGTACATCCCAGAATCCAAGGAAAGAGTGGCGGAGCATTGTTCCAATGAAGGCTTGAACGTTCCTTTACGAAAATTGGTCAGATATTCATGAAGGAATTCTGAAGCCGGCAAAGGTCGCTCGATGTCTGGAAAAGAGGCAAAAACATCCATGTGGTGATTCGGGGCACGATCCGATCTTTTCGAACAGTCAGATCGCTGATTCGCACAACATTTGCGTTTCTTCGAAGTGCAGCTAGCTTTCGAGCAGCCTCCGCTTTCCGAATCTTTGGCTTAGTCGGGTGACTCGGGTTTGACTTGCTGATGTCGATGATGCCCAAAACAACGATCACAATGATATCTTGCTATAAAGGATCAGGGGAACTGTTGAACCTCGCTAGCCCATATTCTACAAATTTCATCTCATTTTTTCCCAAGTCGGCAGCTAGTCGGGAGGTGAACAGATACTCGTGGCAGATTGTTCCATCTGCAAAACCTGGATGTTTGCGAGAGCAAGGGTACTAACTGGAGAGCGCTGTCCAGCGCTTTCCCAGCTGGACAGTGCTGTCAGCTGCTTTCGAGCTCTTAGCCAAAAATACAGGTTTTACAGATGTGTAGTGGATAATTCTATGGTGCACGTCACCTAACTGCCACTACCTGTGTACTAGCGTGGGAATCTTACATAAGCGGCAAAATCGCCAGCTCATTATCAGACACGACGTGCGGGATCAGTGCGGGATACACTAGAATTACGCGTAGACAGGCATCGACTGAATAAATCAATGTAGAATTAATGTTCAAATCTTTACGCTACAAATGACATCCGCTAACCGTAACGCCAAGAAAGCCGCAGCAGCTCGTGCTCGTGCAGGCCGTGCACGACAACATACCTTTCAGACCTTGCGTGAAAATATGCCAAAGGCCTTGGCTTCAATCAAGATCGAGTTGATTCGAAAGTGGGAGCATCGGGCTTGGAGATTTATTGATGCTTACAGTGATGTATTGGGGGCTAAAGATGCAGTGACCCAAGTAAAGAAGTTCAGCTCACGTCGCTATACTTCTCACCGTCACATTCCTGAATCACTGGCTCGAGCAATGGATCAGTAGATAAATATTGCCATATTAGGGAATTATCATATTACATAAGATTACCATAAAAGGAAACGGCAAAAACGGCCCCATGATTTTTCTGAAATTCAACTTGTTCCAAAATCCCTCTAGAGCGTTTCATCCTCTATCTATTTAGTATCTTTTCACAAGAGGAACACAGGATTCGTCTACTCCTTAAGGCTGCTCCCACGCTTGTGCACAGGTAGTGGCAGTTAGGTGACGTGCACCATAAGAAAATATCTTGAAAATGAGAATATTCTCACGTTTAGGGCTCCTTGAGGCCAAATTTGGCAGCCAGAATATCACCGTCAAAAGTATTTTGTTTATTTTACACATGTATGTTACTTTGGGGTATTTCAAAGTATCTGAACAATTGGGAATAGTAGCAACATCATTTAATGGCATTTTACTTTGGATCACAGAAAATCAAACCAAGCTCACAACATAAAATGAAAGTTTTGCACACAAAATATTGACAACTCCTATGTTTTATGCCCACTGTACAATAAGGTGACAAGCTAAGCCTCTGAATGTTTTCTCAAAAATGTATCATACATATACAACAAGTTTGAGATAGTAGATATGAATGAGTGAGCTTTGTAGAAAAAAATTTACGGTCAGTGTATCAAGGAACCCTAGTGTCTCAAGGAGCCCTCGAACACTGTACTTGTATTGACAGCGACTCGGACCAGTACTGCAATTCGTCTATTATTGTTTCTCTACGTCTGGATCCAGATCCGATAATTTCTCAGTGGTAGCCTGAGGGCCCGCCGAAGAGTATTATATCGATATCATGAGATTTTGGAAGAGATTTGTTAGATTGTCAGAGAGTGGTAGTGAATACAAGTCAAAAGGTAGGAGGAGGAGGAGAAGGAGGAGGAAGGATATAGAATGGAGATGAGAGTGATTAAGATTAAGAGGAGTGGGGAAGCGCGGAAGGGTCAAAAGAAGAAGGTCAGATAAAGAAGAAAAATGTCAAATGGAGAAAGAGAGGAGTAGATAGAAAACAAGGGAAAAGGGAGTATAAACTTTACACGAAACAAATAAATAAATAAGTAACCTAGGATGTACTACTAGTACAGAAGGAGCGTCAAAGCGTATTACATAGGAGCCTGACCTAGATGCTTGAGGGTCGTCGAAACATGAGGGGCGTCGTCGTGGATTTACGTTGCAAAGCAGAAGAAGGAAGAGGAGGGAGAATGAACAGAGATGGATATCATGGAGAGCGATGGACGGGCAGCATAATGATCATCGCTTCCCACCTCGTTGAGGAGGCCCACTCCCACTTCTATCTGGCAGCAAACTGTCATATGTGGGAGGAATCTCATCTGGACCCTCTCCTTCTCCCTCACCCCTGGGAACATCAACCCTCCCTCCGTCCTGATGCACCAACACATCTCTGCTCCTCCCACCAAACGCAGGCCCGGCAGCGGATTTGTTTTCACCACGGGCACCGGGGGTGAACCCACCGACGAATAGACCTTCGGGACCTGCTGCAGATGAAGACGAAGCGCCAGCACCAGCGCCTGGATCTGGATTAGCGACATTGAATCGACCGTATCCTTGCCCGGCTCCAGTGTGCGTGGTGTGTGTGGAAGTAGACCCGGAGTTGGATGCTGGATTGGGTTGATTGGGGTTTTGGGTATAGGGATTCGGTAGACGTTCGCCGACGCCGAAACCGTACGGTGCATTGGAGCCTTGAGGTTGAGTAGGCGGTGGGCCGTTGTCACCGTAAGCAGCGGCATACACCGACGCAGGTACACCTGAACTGGATAAACCCAAACTTGGTGATCGGGTATGTGTACTGGGACGTGAATACCCGAGGGATGTTGAAGATGGATTGGAGTTTTGTTGTTGTTGTGTCGACATTTCAGGAGGTATTGCGTTTGCGTTTGTTGGGTGATACAGAGGATACGGTGCGACGACACCAGCACCCAGTGCCGAGCCAGCCAACCTTCCACCCATTCCATCATCATCGTCCCCAACATTCGGCAACGTCGCTCCTCGTCCCCTCATCCCTTTCGGCTCACCCTTCATCGCTTTCCCCTCAGTCACAATCCTATCCGGATCAAAGTTCCCATCAAACGCCTCTAAAGATCTCTGTTTTTGTTTATACCTCTTCCACCACATTCCAACCAACACCAAAACGATTATCAGCGCTGCTCCACCACCGACGGCACCCCCAACTATCGCTCCTGTGTGCGAGTCTGATGATGAAGATGACCCGGAGTCTGAGGAGGACGAAGAAGTGACGGTGGCTCCTGGGGGTAAGACGGTAGATGTCTGGATAACGGTGGTGTATACCTGGCCATCAGCAGATGTCCCTACGACGGTAGTAGCTACAGCGGTTGTTAAAGACGCTGTAAGCGTCGATGTTGACGTTGTCGAGCTACTAGTCTTCGTCGCACTAGACGTCCCGCTACTAGATCCCGAACCTAAACTTGAACCACTGGATTGCGCTGACGATGCGGTGTTCGATGCCGACGTCGAGGAAGAAGTATTAGAGGTGTTGCTGGTAGTGCTGGAAGTCGTAGATGAAGTTGTAGAGCTACTGCTACTCGTTGTCGTACTCGCAGACGTCGGTGATGAACTCGATGTCGTAGCAGAACTTGCTGGTGCCCCGCTCGCCATCGTGGTTACTCTTGATCTTGTTTTTTTTTTTCTTGGCAATTTGCAAATTGGAGCACGGCTTTCTCAAGCCTTAGCCTCGCGTTTGTACAGCCATTCCCGCAGATTTCACGTTGTTATATTATTATAGATTAGACAATGTGTTTATGGTCTAATAGTGTAGAGGTTATCACACGGGATTTTGATTACCAGGTGGCCCCTCGCCACATTATCTTCTTCCCGTAACCCAGGTTCGAGTCCTGGTTAGACCTTGCCATCTCGCCAACAAATTTTTGTCGGAAATTTTGTGATTGTTGAGGTTGAGGTTCATGTTGATTGAGTCTTTGTGTATTACGGAGCCGCCCGGAGCCACCTGCAGAGACAGACATGGAATGTGCATGGTTTGAATTTTTGACTTCCTTCTTCTTTTCGCAAATCAAAAGCTTTCCACCTCTTACAGTGGTTTCAGAAAATAATGAGAATCACAAAATTTTGTTCAAGATGTCACATGTTGCACATCACATAGATTACTACCTTATATAGAATAGTATGAAACAATGTTACTATGCGTCTCTTTGTTCTGAATGGGTAACTGCAGGATCAATCCTGATCTCAAAAACTGTGCACTGAATCTCTGAGAGTGTGGCTGGGACCATTCTAACATCTGTTCAGCACTAGGTATATTGTCAGCAAGCCTTTATCATTGGATCCAAATCTTCAATGAATTTGACTCAGTTGTCCAATCTCCATCTCCTCTTTGTGGATGCCCTTGAATGATCACTCTTGCTGCCCTCACTGCCATGAAGGAGATATATAATCATCACCTGTCATAAAGTACGCAGCCCCTATCATTTTCCCTTTCTCACCGTCTCGACGCCTTTACTTGTACAATACATCATCCCATCGCTGTCAATCTCCATCGATTACTGATCTATCTATTACTGATCCACCTGACCCATCTTCTCTTTCTATCGGCTTCCGCCTCCTTCCTTGCCCCTGAACTGTACAGTATTACATCGTTGTTTCTCGCAGACTAGATTATGTATATATAGCCAACCCTCCACAGCCTGGTCCCTTATCTTGACCTCTCTGTCATTATCTGGGACCAGGTATGTGCTTACTTATTATTACCTACGACTACGATACTCAATATATCTCTGTCATTATCTGGGACCAGCCTGCCGCCGTTCTGCTTAGTCGCTCCGCCTTGTTGCCTTGTCCAGTTGCTCCGCCTCACCGTTCTGCTTAGTCGCTCCGCTTTCCTGCTCCGTTAGTCACTCCGCCTCTGCCGCTTCGTGACATTAGGTCAAGATCCATTACTGCACTGACAGCCTACCGATAAGGTTGTCCTTGCAGGATCCGTAGACACCACGTCTTCCCCAGTCCTGCCCGATTCTGAAACACCTGCTGCCAGTATAGACTGCTCCACACTCCCACACGCACTTGACCCCAGAGACCAAGCTCACGCCCACAACAACAACGATACTTGGCGCGATTGCCAGTCCCAACCTTGCCCCAACGCCCTTTCGAACTCGATCCGAGAGCCACTCACTGTGAGCAATATAACCTTCCTGCCAATTCCCCAACCCCGATTGCCTACTCCCATCATGTCGACTCCTGTCCCGCCTGCCCCAAATACCTCTGCTGAGGATCTCATGGCTCAGCTCATCAGACAAGTAGCCAGCCTTGCTACAGCGATGGAGGAACGCTCATCATCCAAGTCAAGCATGAACAAACCCGAGGTCTTCAAGGGTAAAGATGGTGCTGAAGCTCGTCGCTTCATGGCTCAGTTCCAAAATTGGGCGTCAGAACAACCGGATCTCGCCAAGAGCCAAGTTAAACTTATCAAGTCCGCCCTGGGCTTCTTCACAGAAAGTGCTGGAGATTGGGCAACTCCCCATCTGTTACACTTCAGTGCAGAGAATCCCCCTTTCGGAGGAAACTGGGATACGTTCTTGAAGGAATTTAGCCAGCGGTTTGAACCAATGGACCCAGGTATGGAAGCCCGTAGCAAGATCAAGAACCTCAGACAAAGTAAAGGGCAGACAGTTGCAGAATTTGCCCAGAAGTTCAAGGATATCGGAGATCGGACTGAAATGTCTGATATTGATTTACGGGAACGCTTCTTCACCGCCTTACTTCCGGAGATCCGACAACACCTTATCACCGTAAACATCGCCCAAGGAATCGCTCCGACTTTGAAAGAGGCAATCAAACGAGCCATATCGGTGGATGTCTACCTGCATGATCCCACCATGACCGGCCGAAACACCGGACACGCTCCCGCACACACCGCTCACATTACCCCTGCCGACCCTCACGCCATGGACATTGATGCTACTCATACCAGCACTGGGAATAGCAGGGAGGCCTTCCTTGCCCGTATGCGCGGACGATGTTTTGGTTGTGGAGCTCAAGGCCATGTTAAGCAGAATTGCCCACACAAGGAGACTACCTGTCGATACTGTGGACGCCGGGGACACCTAGAATCCGTCTGTCAGGACAAGTTCATGGGACTTAGTCGCGACCGTGGCCGACGCCAACAGCCTCGCCGTCAGCAGATCTCAGCCACGGCGGCACCATTTACCTTATTCCCAAACGAATCAGTTCAGATTGCCGCCTCAATCCCAACACCTGTCGCTGGACCTGCTACACCGAGCCCCGCTAATCAGGACTTCTCCACCCAAATTGGACAAATAAGGGAATTGTTGGACCGTGCTAATGCCATGTCTCCTCCGTCCTCTGGTTTTCAGCAGGGTTTTTAAAGAGGGTACCCGCTCCGGCTGCACCGAGAGTACCCCATAATCAGTTTACTATGTTCGCTACCTCTTCGTATGACTCGCTCCCATCATGTACAATATCATCTATTTGGGAATTAAATTCCAGCTCCCCACATTTCCGAATTCATGCGAAACTGAGAGGAAGGAACCATAGTATAACAACCGCAGCCATGGTAGACTGTGGAGCTACCGCCCTGTTTTTAAACCAAGACTTTGCCACCAGAAATCACGTAACCTGCGCACCCCTCCATAAACCAATTGATGTATTCAATATCGATGGTACACCTAACCGAGCCAGGCGAATCACCCACTTTGCATGCTTAGCACTCACAGTGGATAACCAGGAGCGATGGATGGATTTCCTGATCACAAACTTAGGAGGAGAGGATATTATTCTCGGACTCCCCTGGTTACGGAAGGTAAATCCAGAGATTGACTGGGAGAGGGGACGACTTTCAGTAAAGCCACCCCGGGTACATATAGAGGAAGTAGAAGATGAGCAGACTTCACACCCTCACCTAGTGGCGTCTACTACCGATAGTCCAATCCAGGAACTCCTGAACGAAGGATCCCAACGTGAACCCAATCACACTGAGGCAGACCTAGAGGAGAATGAAATCATAACAGCAACGGAGGAATCCCCAATACACCGAATACGAGCCAATCACAAAACGCGTCGGGCATGGGTGAAAGCGGGGATATTGGAAGAACAAACAGAGGAAGTATGGTGCTCAGCAGGGTTCACTTATTCTCAACAACTAGCAGAGGAGGCTAACCGCGATAAACCCATTAAAACCTTTGAGGAGATGGTCCCTGAGCAGTACCGAGACTTCAAGAAGGTTTTCTCCGAATCTGCCTCTGAGCGATTACCTGCCCATCAGCCCTGGGATCACGCTATCGATCTTGTACCCGGAGCACCAGCAACCATGCGGACAAAGATCTACCCAATGTCCTTGAACGAGCAGGAGGAACTCGACCGCTTTCTAGAAGAAAACCTACGGAAAGGCTACATCGTTCCCTCGAAGTCACCCATCTCATCTCCAGTCTTCTTCGTGAAGAAGAAGGATGGGAAACTCCGTTTCGTACAGGACTACCGGAAACTGAATGAGTATACTGTGAAGAACCGATACCCTCTCCCATTAGTTGCTGATATCATTAGCCGGCTTCAGGGAGCGCAATATTTCACCAAGTTTGACGTTCGCTGGGGCTACAATAATGTGCGGATTAAGAAGGGGCATGAATGGAAAGGCGCATTTGCAACAACTCGGGGCTTGTTCGAGCCTAAGGTTATGTTCTTCGGTCTCACGAATTCCCCTGCCACATTCCAAGCACTTATGAATGCGATATTTGCTGATCTCATTGCAGCTGGCAAGGTGGCAGTCTACCTAGACGACATCCTCATATTCAGTAACGACCTCAAGGAACACCGACAAGTGGTACGGGAAGTATTAACGCGACTAGAAAAGCACGACCTCTATTTGCGCCCAGAGAAGTGTGAATTTGAACAGCAACAGATCGAATACCTGGGACTTATCATTTCAGAAGGGGAGGTGAGAATGGATCCGGTCAAAGTAGCGGCTGTTCGTGACTGGCCAGTCCCTACCAACCTCCGGGAACTGCGAGGATTTTTGGGGTTTGCAAACTTCTACCGGCGCTTTATCCGAAATTTTGCAAGAATAGCTCGACCTTTGAACGACCTAACCAAGAAGGATACCAGCTTTAACTGGACTGGTACACAACAGGAGGCATTTGACACCCTTCGAGAGGCCTTCATCTCCGCACCAATCCTTGCTCTATGGGCGCCAGATCGGCCCACTCGAATTGAGGTAGACGCATCAGGCTTTGCTACGGGAGGCGCCCTCATGCAGCAGCAAGACGATGGTCAGTGGCACCCGGTAGCCTTCAGATCGGCATCCATGCAGCCAGCAGAACGGAACTATGAAATATATGATCGGGAGATGCTTGCCATCATTGAAGCATTGAAGGACTGGAGGAATTTCCTGGAAGGACTTCCACAACCATTCGACATTATCACCGATCACTCCAACCTCGAATTCTGGCGCACAGCACAAGACCTTACCCGTCGACAAGCCCGATGGGCCCTCTATCTATCACGGTTTGATTTTCATATGATCCACCGTCCTGGCCGAGTAAACACCCAAGCTGATGCTCTTTCTCGTATGGCAGTACATCATGTATCAGATAGCGATGACAATCAGCAACAGACCGTCCTTAAACCTGGCC